CCCTTAATGGCGGGGTCAGCCACTTAGGCGACGACTCATCGGCGCCAACGGTCGCTTTGTCGTTCGACGCTTATTAAGTTCGCCTCGACACTCGTCGCAACACAAAAGATGACTTGTTATTTCTGGAAAGCCCTGAGATGTCAAAAGCAACTTTACTTAATTGCTCTGCTCTTTCTGAACTCATGAAAAATGTTTGAAGTCTAAACTCAAGGGAAAAAACTACCAACATTCCTCGAACACGTGGTACGTAAACAAACGCTAGAAAGCTGTTCGACATTTCACTGATATTGTTTACGTCAGCAAATTGAAGCTTGTAATTTTTAAAACTAATTGAAACCAAAGCTTTAGCGGAACTCGGTTTTAAAAGTAAGAGGAAGTTGCGCAGTTGTGCCATTAGTTGATAGAAAAACCACGCGATTTTCTCGACCAACGTTTGCTAATGCGTTAGCGGGATGGTTGAAATTCGACAACCTTGTAGTAACCTCATTGTGTTGCCTCAATCAAGCATGGTACCGCCCTTTTATTGACTGTTATTATAGAGCGAGGTGCCGAAGCAAAAGGCCAGCGATTCCCATCATTGTGTTTGAGATAATTTGAGAGTTTCCTTTATGCGAAACCGCTCCTGGGAATCGGTCACTTGGTCGTGGATACTGAAGTGGACATCGCAGATTGTGACCCCATTTTACAGCGATTTCGGACTCTTTACGACGAGGAGTTGACCGTACAGGCCAATTATTGCACTGAGTACCAATAGTGCTACGCCCGAGGCTTAGTTCGCAACGAACCAACCCTTAGCGGTCCTCGCGTCATATGTTGGTCGAAGCGATACCGTATTTATCACCTTGTCACGCCAATCACGGTCGTTCATTGTCCTTCGTGCCCCGCCGCCTCCATGCAACTGGTTACGTTTGCCGCCGCTAGCTTGCTCACGGGTAGTCTGCTGTAGGGGAGGAGCTAAAGCGTCGTTCGTCACTTAAAACTAGCCCCCCGGCCGTCCGATCCA